ACCATTACCATTGCCAATATTCTCAGATGGCTTCGCCTAATTTTACCATCCTGTTCTCGTCCACTAAAATGATACGGGGTTTGCTGTCTACAGTCTCCCTGTTTCCACATGAACGAAGCATTAGAGGGGGCAGTCCTAGTTGCAAGTTTCCTCATGTTTCCTGTTTCTCTCTCTTTGGTCAAAGAAGGACGAAAACCAAAAAATTTGCCTTAAAAAAGGAAAGACCTGTATAAAGCATCCCCGGATGAGATAACAGTGACAAGAGATGTGGTATAAAGCAGCAAAATCAGGAGAAAATAGTCAACAAATCCAAAGAAACTTTTGTATCAAAGCAGTTTCCCCAGAAATCCAAGATTATATATGTTTAATTGTAGCTTAAACCCTGTTGCCTACAGGGAATATCTTATCAACCCAGCTCCACAAAATAAGCCTGATGAACAAAGAGTTTATTGGCAATTATTAGTTTCACTTATGCATGTAGGTTACAAATGTGCTTTTAATTGTTTCTAACTCTAAAAAGTCCAGTCGTGTCTCCAGGAATGTACGCCACCTGAAACATGTCTCCTCTGTTGACATCCTCAATAACCAAACTCACTCATACCCCCCCTTCATGTTTTGTCAATATGAGCTTCAAAGCCAGGAAATCTCACTGTCCATATGAGAATAGTTTTAGGAAGGCCCTGGGGTCAGTTACGCGGCAACAGTCAGGAGTGTGGGAATGTGAAGCTTTCTGCAAACAAAGTCTAGGATACCCCTCATCTCTCACTCTCTGAGGGCCTGCAGCAACAATCACAGCCTGAAAAATAGTATTTCATCACACTGATCCACATGAACTGAAAATATGCCATTCTTGTCTTGGTATCGCCAGCCTATCTTCGTACTTCTCTAATCCTCACTTATTTATATCGTCTTAACGGTTAGATGGAGGAACACATGTCCCGCGTGACATCATACAATGAACTGAGAGTTCAATCTATGTTCATGCACTTTCAGAGGGATACATAAAGAGTAGTTTGACTTGTTGTGGGTAATAAAAAACTGTAGCTGCTTGGTTTGTGGATAATAAACAGCCTCTTTCATTCATCACACTAGGATGCAAAATTATCAATTACTGGACCATGACCGGATGAACAGTAATAAGAGTGTGCATGCCACAAGGGCACAAAATATGAAAATACTAGTATCTGAGATCAAACCAAAGTCCCCACACTTACTATAGATTCCAAAGTACTAGTACAGATATGATTTTTCTATTTTTTTCAAATGAGCTTTCAATACATTGCTGCTTTATCAAGCCAAAGGTGAAACTGAACGGGCTGAACTTCAGACAACAAAGTGGTTCTTGTCTGTTGACGATAAATCAAATAAAGAAACTTATTTCTGGTGACTGTGACTAACATGTTGTCCTCAATGGATCTCTTCTAATATCTCCTCTAAGGACATGCGTGCACACAGTATATGGCACATTATCAAAGACAAAGACAAAGTCTATATACATATAGATTCATCTGATACTCAGCAATCACAAAACTGTTAAATTAGGACCAAACTTCTTTTTTATTTGGATGAATAGTCAGTAGTGTTGTGTTTGTAACAGAAGTACAGTAGGTTGTTGAAGCTGATGAAAAGCCAAAATATCAAACTTCAACAAATTAAGCCAGATTCCCAGCATAAAGTGGGAAACCTGCAAATGTTGCTGGCTGTCCAGACTACTTCATCTGCTGCACAAATGCCTTCCAAAGCACCTCTTGACAGTATGTTGCTAAAAATGTTCACTAAAATAAGTAACTGCTTCAAAGCCCAACGCAAACCAACAGCACTGAAATAAACCCTGTCTTTAAGCTCTCTGTGTTCAGCTTTTGTTGACACTGTCTCAGAGAGGTGTTGACTTCTCATGATGGTTTTACAGAGAGTTGTTTTAAATTATCTAAAAAGGAAAAAGTCTTCTCGGAGTAGTTTTAGATTTGAAAAGCAAATAGTAAAGTATCTATTCTACGAGTTGACTGACTGTGTGTAAACAGTTGGATTCTGTGGATTGGCTCTGTGCATCATCACACGGAGCTTGAGCAATCTGTGTTATATAGCCTAAAAGAAATGTTCAATTTCTCACCTCGAGGATGTTGTGTCAAGACATGACTCTCATCTGACATTGTCCTTGAAGATACTGCCCAAAATACAAAAGACAACTGCCAGAAAAAGCATCATCTATATATTCTTTCCTTTCATTGTTTTCTTATTACAGCTTTCAGACCTTCAAGGTAACCCACACATTTTACCATGCTGTTTCTGTCGCATGGAAAACCACTTGTGGTGACCAAGAGACAGATGTTCCTTACTCCTATCTCAAGAGGGACAGGCTCAGACCTGAGAGGCCAAGTGAATTCACTCAACTGGCAGGTAGGGTGGGGACAAAGCAATCATCTTCTGGAGAGGAAATAAGAGCCACTAGTCTACAACATCTTTCATGTCCTGTATTCGGAATACAAACTGCTCCCATCAGGTAGATGACAGAGTCCAATTACAAACTGGAGAAGATATAAAAACTCTGTCATCCTTCTACAGCTCAGTCGCCAGAAGAAAATGTTGGCATTGCATGTTTCTACAAACCACAAACACTTTACATTTTCATGTTTCGTACACATCATATCAAATTTAAGTGATATAGTATACAAGCTAATTTTGTCATTGGGAGGAGAAGGGGACTGTAGACAGCATGTTACCTAGACGAGAAGCCTGCCAAGCTGTAGACAAAAGTGGTTGTGTTTTAGCGAGCCATTGCTGGCTGTATTTTCACATGCTTTTTTAGCCTCTAAGCGCAGGCATTTCGTTGTAAGGCAGATGTATTTTTTTACCAAGACATTGCATTTCCTACCGGGACTGTGCACCCAAAACCAGGTATGTAAGGCCAAAATATTACCTTTACATAACCATAACCAAGTGGTTTTCATGCGTAACCATAAGCATGCGTTACCGAAAACACTGCTGAAACGTAAAGTCTCAACATATCCGCTCCAAAATAACGTGCTAATGTGACGCATCTGTGGTTTTCAGAAACATATGATGCAAACATTTTTTCTGGTGATTGGGTTGCCCTCTATCAGTGAATCTTCTAAAGCCAGGACATAAAAGTGGTGTAAAATGAGGAGCTATGTTGCACACATGCACTTTATTTTTGCACATGTCTGTGCTATGCTTTACTTGTGTTTCTGCACTGTGTCTGTTTATGTGGTGGCCTTTATGTCCAAGGCGAATTTCCCTGGAGACAAAGTAATCTTGAAACAGACACAGTGAAGAAGGTTAAACCTGTGCCTGCTGTGTCAACGTGTGTTATTTGACCTGCCTTCACACCCCTCCTTTTGACCTTGGTTTAACATGCTTTGGACACCTGTTCAGTGAACTGTCTTTTCCATTAGGGATTGTAATTTATTTCACTGTTAGTTGAAGTTGAAGTTTAAATTGAACTTCCAGACTAGAAACTGCACACAAGAAAGACACTATATGATCAGACAACAGAGAATCAGAGTGTGGAGAGAAGTGAAACCAAAACTTTCTGTACTACTTATGTAATGTAATTCTGTGCAATTCTGATGCATAACAGTAATACATAATGAACAGTTCCAGACGTGAGTTTGTGTGAACACACGCCCACTGATTTCACTACTGAAGACATGAAGTGAAGAGGTTAAACTCAGGTTGAAAGTGAATGTGCTGTAGCACTATCCTGGTTATATGAAGCACGTGTAAACATCATATCTTGGTATCAGAAACCTTTTCCCAGTTCTGAAAAACCTGAATTTGCCAGCTGGAGTACTCTCATGGAAATCTGGCAGCTGAGAGACCGTGCAGGAGCATCCTTGACTAAAATTAGTCAACAAACAAAAAAATAAAACAAAAATTGCATAATGATGGTCTACTTGATGAAGTAAAGTAAATAATGCAGAGGACAAAATCTGTTGTAATTTGGTCTTCCTTTACAAAATAGTATATGGAGACCTGAGTGGTTAAAGCAGCGAGAAACCAAGCTGGGTTCATCCTCAACAACTGAGGAAGCTCGGTCAGTACAGACATGACAGATCTGCTGGATATCAAGAGGACAAGGCTGCACTGCAGCAGATAATCAGAAACTTTAATAATCTAGAACTTGATAAACAAAATCCTGTATACAGTGACACAAGTACCCAGGTAACAATCCCAAATGACATCAAAACCAAGATGAGACTTCAGACAGAATTAAAAGTGTTTCTAAACACTAAGGCTGCAGAAGATGATGAAAGCTCTGTGAGCATTTTTTAACAACTGAAAATGCATTATTAAGCACTGCCTTTATCTAACTCAAACTCTTTCTGTTTTATTTTATTATGCCTTTATTTAACTTTATTTCTCACGTTTTATTCTTAGCATATCTGTTGTTGCTAACTGCTGCCTCTTCTGTTTGTTATTCATGTGATTATTTGGTTTAATCCTGCAGAATTTGCACTTGCCTGTTTCTATTGTGTTGTTTAGTCACTTTATTGTTTAGCACTTTAAGCTACAGCCCATGTAATGTGCTATATAAATAACGTTTATTATTATTATTATTATTATTATTATTATTATTATTATTATCACATAATGGACGTGTTGCATGCGGACTGAACTTCTCTCTCAGTGCAGCGTTTGACTCAAGTTTGTGCAGCCTGTTTTAAAGCCAAACTTTCAGCAGCGAAGTGAGCCACTACACTTCCCAAACTCGGTCAGATTGTTTTAACAAACGATGCAAACATTACGACAGAGCACGATCGGCCACTGAGAGCTGAACCTGACACCGACAACTTCTTTCAAAAAGCCAACAAGCTCCACATCAACAGAAGTGCGTTAAGCTGACTAGCGTTAGCAATGCTAACTCAGCTAGCGAAGGAGCTACTCGTTAGCTGGCTAATGCTAGGCCCACTTCCACTGGTCCATCGCTACAATATCCCCCAGTTATGATCTTGCACTTTGTGATTTTATACTGTATTTACCTCAGAAATGTGGAGGTGAACAAAGACAGCAGGCCTCTCCAGTGATTCCTCTTGGTCGTGTATCCAAACCGAGATATATCCTTTGAAGCTTGGTGAAGCTAACGGCACAGGCTCCAGTGAGGTTAAAACGCTCCTTCTTCGCTCCTCGGCTCCTCCACCAGCAGCAAGTCAAGTGTTTGTAACTAACAGAGGCTAGCACGTTAGCTGGGGGAGCTAACTAGCCTCTACAAGCCGTGTTCGTGTAATGTTAGCTGGCTAGTAAAACACCGCTAACGTTAGCTGCTCTGTCAAATTGACAAATGGAGTGTTTTTTGGTCGCCCCTTTGGCTCTGTTGTTTGACTGGGCGACATGCGATGGCGTCCGACCATCACAGGAGGGAAAACACATCCAGTGAGACCAAACAGCGTGTCAGTTGTGAGTGATTTGCCGTTCACAGGCTCCTCAACAGCCGCCAGGTTTGTTCGTCTCCTGACTCTCCACCGACTGGAGAGAATGGCTGTCGCGACATGATGATGGCACGTTTTTGTTTGCTAGTGGGCGCCCGAATATGACGTAATAATATACTCCCTGGATGACATCCACGTGAGAAAATAATCACAATCAGAATCTGGTTTTTATTTATTCATATTTCACGACAAGGAACTGGTGCATTACATTAACATATTGACAAAAAACTTAATTAACAATAAAAATACATAAAAAAAATGATAATTTTTAATTAAATTTACATGTTACAGCAGCTCAAGAGTCAGAAGCTAGAGAGAAAGAGAAAAATATTAGGACTAACAAAGAATACAACAGTACAAAAGTACAAATTATATGAAATAAAAACAAAATAAAAACATACACTCCACACACCTGTCACTTATACAGATACTGTATGCCCATGATTGATAGTGGCACAGAATAACTGAAATACACACATTAAAATATAAAAGCAGGTCCTCCAAAAATCAAGAGATGTAGAAAGGATCGAAGAAAACTGCAGCAAAAACTATGAAAAAATATAGCTAAAAAAAACTTTTTTTTTAATTTAAATTAAAAAGTGTAAAAAAAAAGCGCTTTTTTTAATATATTTAAAAATACCCAAATTACGTATATTCATACATATTATATATAATATACTACTAATAATACACTGTTCTAATAATATAAAAGTAGATTTTATGTCATTATTTAATTATTAAATTTAATTTTATTAATATTTAATTTTATTTATTCATAATCTGGTTGTGTATGTAAGATACATATTCCTTACTATATTTAATTGTTATATTTTACTCTCTATTTTTACTTGTACTATGTTATGTTAAGGTTCTCAACTTGATATTAGTCAGTGATTCTAATTAATGAGGCTACAGTTAACATTATTATCAGTGAAGCACGGAATTAATTGGGGATAACATGTTCTGCAGGGTTATTTGTGTGTTTCTCAGTCCTTATTGGATATGCAGAATTTATATGGTAATGACCCATTTTTATTCCATTTATTATCTTCAATTAATTGATTCCAAAATAATTTCCTAGAGGATTTGAAGTGATCTCTATTTGTCTGTGAAATGTATTTTTGAATATGCTAATTATTGCATTTTAATAGGTGTTATCTAGACCACTGATTCTAATTTGGTTGTGGTTTAAATTTTTAATAACTTTAAAGACAATATTTCTTTCCATTAAATAAGACAGACCATGCAATAGTTTTGCAAACAGATGCAAATTCTCCATTGGTAGACAAGTCAGCATGAATTTGTTGTAAGCATATATGTGCTCATTATCATTAAACAAATAAGCCGCCCTGAGACTGGGAGGTTGTGGGTTCGATCCCTGGCCGGGTCATACTAAAGACTATAAAAATGGGACCCATTGCCTCCCTGCTTGGCACTCAGCATCAGGGGTTAGAATTGGGGGGTTAGATCACCAAATGATTCCCGAGCGCGGCACCGCTGCTGCTCACCGCTCCCTCAGGGGATGGGTCAAATGCGGAGAACAAATTTCACACACTCAGGTGTGTGACAATTAGTGGAAGTTTAACTTTAAGATGCAAGACTGATATCATGAGGGGGCCTATTTATAAAGAAACCTAATCTAAAATTTTGTACAACCTCCACATCAGTACTGCTGATTATACTTTGATGCTTTCACAAGTTGTTCATCTAAAGAGAAGTCACAAGATAATACATAATCTTTATACCTAATGCAGCTTTTCATTACATGAGACAAGATGTTTAAAATTGCTTTACACACATTTGCAAATTATTTACAAATGTTTTTCTAAAATGACATTAAAACTATCAAAGCTCCTCCTCAGGCAGTCTGAGGAGGAGCATTCAGCACCTTGAAACGTCACTTGTGGATGTTGTTTATGTACAAAATGACACCCATATTTGCAATCTTCCTTCAAGGCTTCACATTTTACTCTTCTTTAAATGTACATAAAAACAAAAAGAGCCCCTACAAAAGTTTTGCAGTTTGCATGGCAGAGCCACATAAGCTTTGATTGTACCTTTCATTCACTTCCCTAAACGTTCTTGTTATAACAAAATGTAATTGTGTTATTGTATTTTCATCAATAAAGTTCTGGGGGAGAAAAAATGGGAGGGACTCCAAATCCAAATTTGCATGGTGTGTCAGAAATCATGCTGGTTGAAAACCTAGACCTAATTCTTTCCAGAATGTTGAGCTTCATTTATTCATAGGCAAAAAAAAAAGCAAGTTATCGTGGATTAGAGTGCCGCTGCTGCTTCTGCTGCTTCTGCTGCTGCTGCTTCTCAAGTTAGCCCTGCAGTGCCAGCCATGGTTAGCTTTGGCTCATGGTCATTTTCATGCCCTGTATCTGGATCCTCCAGGGAGAGTCTGAAACCCTGAGATATCACTAAGCACCGAACATGTGATCCTGAGACGTGTGGAATTGAGACTGGCATCTGGTCAATGAAGACTGAAAAGCAGACCCTGGAAACAAAGGACGGCTGTAAATATCCTCACTTTGTTACTAAATACTCTCTGTAGCGGTGTGTGTGCTTTTATGGAAATTGCTCCTTGAAGTTGACTCCTCAAAAAAATCTGAGCTCTTGGCTTGAGTTTCTCATCGGAGTTATCCTTCTACATGCTGTTTTCATCGTTTTGTCAGTGAAACTAAACATTAAAATGCACAAACCAGAGTGGTGTGTGTGATAATGTCAGGGCCGCAGCCAGGATTTTAGAAATACTGAGATCGTATCTTAGTATTTCCACAAACACACACAACCACCGATCACTTTGAAGAGACATGAATCATCATAACATGCTTAATTCTTTAAACTGTTTTGTTATACATATATTGTTAGTTTTTCTTCATGTCAAAACTGTTTTATGTCCCAGAGTTTCCATACATGGTTGTCTTAAACAGTGACCTCTGAAAATAAAGTAATATCTCATGTGATTTTCCTTCTCGGATTGCTTCATTTACAGAATTTTTAGTGACCCAAAAAGGTAAGTATCCCAACCCAATCACCAGAAAAAAAAATGTTGGCATGGTATTTTTATGAAAACCATGGATACATTACATTTGCATGTTATTATGTAGCAAATGTTAAAACCTTACATTTCAACAGGGCTGTGGTTAACATGTGGTTTAGGTTAGGCACAAAACCACTTGATTGTGTCTAGGAAAACGTCATGTTTTGGCTTAAATTAGCCAGCATTAGTCAATGTCAGTCCATCGGTGAGCATCTATCTCATGGTGAATCGGAGCTGGCTGAGCTTGTCAGTGAATGAAATCAATGTGATTACAAGTTAACTCTATGGGCCCTAGGCCTTTTCTGGAGTATTTTTACTGCCTTTACTTTTAAGCTCATATCACAGTCATTATAAAGGCTACATACACATGCTATATCTTGTTTGTTTGTTTTTCAGGACATTGTGGGCAATCCAGATTTGCCATCATTCCATGTCCTTCTATGTGCCTGTATTTTGTATTAATTTTTATATCAATGAATATGGTGACTACTGCCCTGTCATGCATGCATAGGCCTCAGTTGTCTGGGTGCGCAAAGGTGAAGTGGCTGGTCTTGTCATACAAAGTTTGACGAGTGTTAACTGGACAACATGGAGATATTTGCATCTTGAAAGCCGGACTACAAGTGTGGATAGACAGGGAGAAACACACGCAAGCCTAAGACGTGGTAAGATACGATATTCCTCACTATATGAAGTGACTGATAACAAGATCTGTATAATGGATTGTAAAGAAATTCGTCAGGTTTTTATTTTGTAGACAATTGATCTGGCTTTATAGCGTGATGGGATGACAGCACAGTAGGGACGCCGTTAGCCGTTAGCGGTGTCTGTCATAACTCCGGTCACAGTCCGTGAAAAAAATATTTTTTCCAGCGGATGTCTTAGTTACAACATGATTGAGCTAAGTGGAGTAGTTTCATGTTTCATGTATCCGACAATGGGAGGCTTTTAAGAGATGACGTCCTGATGTTAGCTTTGCTGCTGCTGTTAGCTGTCCCTGTCAGCTGATGCTTTCTAGACATCGTGATTTCCCAAAACTGAATAAATACCACACATAGCAACACAAAACTGCTTTGCTAGCTCAATCATGTTGTAACTAAGATATCCACTGGAAGAAAATTTTTTTCACGGACCGTTTAATGAGTTATTACAGACACCGCTTACAGCTAACGGTTAGCCTAGCTAAACTACGATAACCATGTTGTTATTTACAAAACATCACATCCCGCCTTGAGTATATCCAATCAGCACCAAGTAATCCCCAAGCCCCAGCCAGGAGTTTCTCGGGGCCGTTCTGAGTACCTACCCCGAGGCAGGGACTTGTTTAGCCTCTGTAAAAGTTTCAGAACTCTGTCCTCCGGGGGTGGTTCCTGCGGTGGAGACACGCACCATCGGCCCTGGCCCCATAAAAATTACCCCGAAGTTCCTGCGGTGGAAACGGGCCTATATGCGTGGCATTTCTGTGCGAGCCTGCATTCGCAAGTAAGCCATCCAAGAGTAATGTGTGTGCAAACCTGTATGAAAGCTCTGTTGTACATAATTTTAGTGTAACTTTATCATTTTTTTCGCTGTGAAAACATTGGACTACCGACAAGTGCTTGGCCTTGTCGGAAAGCTACAGTTCCGCTGTTTCACTATATGCGTGGCTTCTCGCTATGACGAACGGTCGCAGAGAAAATCAATAGAGAAGAACAGGTGTGAATTTGGACACACTATTGTCGTTCAGGCCCATAGGGTTAAGCTCACTGCACAAGAAGAGAAATGGAAGTGAGGAAAGTAAGCAAATGGCTAAAGTCAAGGGGGCATGAGATCGAAACAAACTTGTTATTTTAAGTAAGATTTTTTTCTAGCCATTGCTCTTTGGCAGAAATGTTTGGTAATAATTTTGTGTCATTGTTCGCTAGCGCATGGTAAATATTGTTTCTTCTTTAACACCAGGGTGTGTTTTTTATGTGCTAACTGGCTAACTAGCATTGTTAATCTGTCCT